CATACCACTCTCTTCGTCAATCTGACCTCAACACTAATGTCGTTCCCGTCCTCAGGTCCAAACCTCAAATACAGTCTCACACAACCACAAGACAACCATGAGATTCACTCACTATCCATTCGTTGCTCTAAGCAACCTTAATAGCTTTATTGTCTTATATCTTGTCCTAAAAATTTCAATCATACCTTAATCATACAACTCACAATGAGCTAAAAACAACCCAATACCAATTACCACAATCATCTTCCATAAGTAAAAGCCTTCCAGTCCACTCCTAACCACCCATACTAGAGAAAAATTCCATGACATCATTTGATCCAACACTTACCTCATCAAAACACCTCATAAAGACTATCTCATGTCTGCAATCTCAAACCCTGAATCAATTACATACTCCTCAAGAGAATCCCACATTCACACTTCCAATTACATAGTCCTAAGACTATACCGACACCTGTCTTTAATGTACTGCTCAAACCAAACATCTATGCATGCATCCGGGTACATGACCCACATCACATCACTTAATCATCCTTGACTTACCATTCACATCACATCTCCTAGCCATCACCGCTAACAATAAATAATAGAAGCATACAATCATAACTTGGCAACTCATGCCTCACACCCCACCGGTTAAAATTACCCTCAAAATGACACTACTGAACCCAAAGACTTCGCCTCCCTTCGTGGAAGTAAGTCAAATCAAACTCTTACCGGATACCTCTTACAACAGAGATAAACTACCACAGACCCAACCATCCGTGGGTGTGTAACTCCTAAATGGAGAAATGACACTAGTACCATCAATGTTGTTGTCAGGACCAACACAAACAAAAAAGGCTAACAAATCCCGCTCTCATAAGAGACTGACAACTGAATCCAGGCATACCTAAAGGAATCACATCATACTAGAACTTTAAAGTCTCTAACACCCTAGTTACATAACCACACAAGAACTATGCTAATTCCTTAGTATACTAAAATGGCAATTACAACAACAATGTAGTAATAATGTACATTAACGAAAATAACTTTAAATTATCATCATTCTAGTTAAACATAAGGTTTTCAAGACATGAAACCAAGCATTTGAACAATATGCACAAATATATACCTAAGTCATGGAACACATCACAAGAATCTTCCTACAACTCACACAACACACATATAGTCCATGATAAACCATAAAACTCAAGGAAATTCCTAGGTTACAACCATCCTATACCCCCTACCTCACTAAACAAAGCCTATCTAGAATCCAAGCAAAAGATGTGCAATGGGAAATCTAAGCCAAGAGCCTTGTAGGCCAAGATGCAAGCAATCCTTCTTTATTTTATGGTGTGAGCAAAAGGTGAGAGGAATAGAGAAGAACCTAAGCTCTAAGGTATGCAACAATGGTGTTTTAGAAAGGGAATGGTTAAAGAAGATGAAGCTACAACTAATTAAAAGATGTATGGCATATGGAATATCTATACACTAAGTTGTCTTACACTACTTCTCTTACACACACACTCATCTTATCCCTCCACTTGTCACAATCCTAAGCCTTCATACAAAACACCTTTTCAACCCTACACTTGACATCATCCAAGCACTACACTTGTCACCAATCAAGTGCTAACACATGGTCCAATGGAAATGAGACACTTGTCTCAACTTTCCCCAAATTGCACAAAAGTCCTTCTACTAAATATCTCCCAAAAATAATCGTACAAAGGTCCCTAAACAAAATATCTCCAAAAGATAATCGCACAAAGACCCCTTAAAATGAAAATGTCCCCAAAGAAAGCTATCACATATACCTTTATGAAAAATGAAAATGAACAAGCACATAATGTTCTACACGTGAGTCATGCTAAGAAGGTAAAATGCACAAACATGAATGCATGAATTGTCGAGAGCCAATTCTGAACACTAAAACCCTACCTTGGGTTCTCAAAACCCTAAGGCAACAAGAAGGGAAAAAATAAAATAAATAAATAAAATAAAATATATAAATAAATAAAATGCAATAGAAAAAGGGAAAGATGACACGGTCATCACATTACCGAATCCTTCTTTTATTAAGAGAAGGTTTCCTTCTGAACCCATTGGCTTGTTTGGCTCAGCCATTTGGGTTAAACTGACGCTACGGGGCGGAATGGCCCATTCCCTTGGTATGGGCCAAACTTGTAATTCATAACTTGGGTTTCAAACCTGGACACATGTTGGTTGTGATTGGTACTTCATTTGTACAGGTGCCATACTTGGTTGGTGGATATTTTTTACCCCCACAAGGGTGCAAAAGTTAGACAAGGTTGTAATTTTGTGGAAAAAAAAAAATAATATCTACCAATTAAGATCTATCTTCCCAAAGCGAAGTACTTTGAGATGACCTAACATAAAGGGGAAACCTTTGCTAAATAATGGTGGGGGTTATTGGCAATAAACTCAATGATTTTAAGATTTTCTTTTTTATAACTCGTTAATGATTTTGAAATTACTGATGATACAATCACATTAAGCTCATAAAATGACAGGTTTTGTTCAATTCAATTTTGAGAATGGAGAAATTTGTTAAAACTATAGCACTTATTGCACCAATACCGCAAGAATATGTGAGTTATACGGTGCGGAAACTATTAGTTGATTAAGTCGTGATTAAATTTCTAAATGACCTAGAAGGGGTGAATGGGTTGACTTGTCCAATTTTTGCGATTGAATAAATTTCACACAATTATAAGCAATTAAACATACATAATCACAAGAATAATGAAAACAAGTAAGTAGAATTTGAGAGATGACACATAATACTTTTTTAAGAAACCCTGATTGGCGGAAGAGACCAATCGTTGTGGGAAAAGCCTCGTGAACTACGTTGTGCAAAACAAAAAGATCCATTATGTATGAAGCAAAGTACAATTGACTCTGACTCACCTCACACCCTTTTACTCTATCAAAAACCAATTGCTAACGATCGTTGACTTTGCGACTCCCCTATCCAACAACTCTCGACCTCAGGTTTACTTTTGATTTTTGTAGAAAGATTGTTGGTAGATCAATCAACACTCCACAGCTATCTTGATCCCTTCAAAGTGTGATCTTCTTCTCCTTTTCTTTAAAAATTAATTTTCTAAAGTTGGTAAGAAAATATATTGCTTTGATTAACTTGTAATATGATGTAGACTCTGAATATTCCATATTAATCAGTAGAACATCACCCTAATCACTTCTAATTACTCTTGTGTTTAAGTGTGTGCTCTCAAAAATAAACAATCAGATTTCTCTGAAAAATCTCTCAAAAAGCCTTAATGATGAGTAAAAGATGAAAACATTAATTTTCTATTGAAGCCACCAACATACTCCCTTTAAAAAGCTGATATATATATATATATATATATATATATATATAGTAGTAAGTCCTTACAATAAGTGGAAAAAGTTGTCCTACAAGTTTAGGTACAAACAAAAAACTGTAAAGTTATCAAAATCTGATTTTTCGCACCTCGAGGATAATGCAACCGGTTGGACTTAATGGTGTTGACGCTAAAATCGGCTCCTTAGATCAGATTCGGAATTGATGTCCCACCGGGCATGCCAAAAATGTTGACGCTAAAATCGGCTCCTTAGATCCGATTCGGAATTGATGTGATACGGGCGTGCCAAAACCAATTATATGGTTCGAGTGTAAATTGTCAACTTCAGTCTCTTTGAGAAGGTTGACTTTCAAACAATGCAAGGAAAAAAGAGAACAATAAAACTCCTCTTTTAGTTCAAGAATTGCCTTAATTAAAAGGACTTTTATAATGAATAATTTATAGTAATGTTTTGAGGATAGAAAAGGGAGAGAAATAGATATACAAAGAAATACAGAGAGAGATTGAGAGAGAGAAAGATAAAGTGAGATATTGAGAGAGAGAGATAGAGATAGAGAAAAAATAGCAAGGATGCTATTTAGGGAAAGGGCTTGAGAAACCAAACAAAATAATATAAGGATTCTAAGGGTGCTGGACCTCGATCTTAGCATACCTCTTTGTTTATTTATAGAAGAATTCTCAAAACAAATACCTATAAACAAGTACTCTAATTACAATAAAACTCTATATCATAACTGAATATAAATTCAAACTAAACGATCTTAGATAAACACTAATTCTTAACTAAAATCAAATAAGGGATAAATATTACACATAAATCTTATCCATCGTCGTAAAGTTCAAAAATATTCTATCCAATCAGTGGTGCCTTTGCATGTAGCTTTGCTCTGTGTAAAATCTGTCAGGTCATTGCTCCTTCACCTGTAGTCCACATCCATGTAGAACATTGATGATTTTCAGTCCAACTTAATTGCTAAACCAAACCACCTTCAGCCCAAACATAAATCCATGACCCAAATATCCTCCATAGCCCGAATACCAAAATGGATCCATGACCCAAATACCATCTACGGCCCAAATACCAAAATGGGTGTCAATAGATGGTGCAACCACTTAACATGTTTCTCATTAGAAAGTGTAACCAGTTGGACTGTCAAGTGTAACTGGTTAGATTTTTCCCGAGGGCTGTTTTTGCTCAGAATATGCAACCTGCTCGAACATAAAGTGTAACCGGTTGGACTGCACTGAATGACAATTCTAACCTTAGCTCTTGTACCCAACCTTAAAAATATTCACAAGTGTTCCTCACACACTTACCTGTACTATATGATGTTCTAAATGGATGCAACAGTAAGAGGCACTTGCTCTTCCACTCCAAAAGACTAAGACTTAAGATAAACAAAGATTACAACTCGATTATTAAGTTTTGACTCCAAAATTCAATATTACAATTTTATATCTCATAGAATATGCATTATGCATTACATTTTGATAAATCTATGTTGCACTTAAATCATATTTCCATTATATTTTCAGTGTAACCCCTTAATGCAAACCATTATTGTAGGGATTAGTCTATAAAGCTCAAATGGATTCATTTAACATATATGTGTATTATCCTTCCACCAAGGAAATTTCAAGGCTTGTAGAAGAAAACGGTTGTTTCAATATTGAGAGAATGCAAATGATGGATCCGAGGTCAATGATGAATTCCCCACTTGATGTGTACACATTTATAATGCACCTAAGAGCTGCCATGGAAGGATTTTTCACCAAACATTTTGGAAGTGAGATTGTTGGCGAAATGTTTGGAAGGATTTCTCAAAAAAGTGCAAAGTTTCTACTGGACAAACGCTACAATGAAATAGATTGAGTATTTTTTGTTTTGAAGCATAAATGATGTGAGTTGGGATGGTATTGGCCTCATTATAAGGGTAATTTACATGTCATAGCTATCTTTACCTCTTTTTTTTTCTTTTTTTTGGTTTTTTTTTTTTTTTTGGTAGTTGGAGAAATAATATAATGTTATTCAAAAAAAAGAAAAAAGAAATAATATAGTGGTGCCTCAATAAAATGGTTTAAACTAAAGTTTAGGACTTATTTATAAGAAATTTAGATTTTGTGTTGAAATCTAGAATTTGGCAGATTTTGAATTTGATCAACAAGAAGATAACTCTTTCCCCTATTCTATAATTTCTTAAAGGCTCTGCAAGAACCCTTTTGCTTGGACAATGTTATGCTGATGAATTGAATATATTGTGATGCGATTTGAGTTCAAATAGCAACACATAAAACTACAATATGTACTTCTTCAGTGAAAATCATCACCAAGATAGATATCTATTTGAAGGTATGGAAAAGAACCTAATATTGGCACTCCAAGAAGTATCTCAGAATTTATTTATTTATTATTATTATTATTTTATGATATTTGGATTTAAGCAATGGAGTGTCATGGAATATTTTCTTCAGAGTTCAAAACCTTTGACATGGTTACTGTAACAAGTATTACACATTGCTAACAATTCTTTTACTTGTTTATGTAGTGATATTTCTTATTCTATTATTGCATTTATATAATCAATAAATTCTTTTATTCATAATTTTTAACTTATTATTTTGGACAGTTAGAGTATCCACTAGTTTTAGGGTATATGTAGTATTTACTAGCTGATCAACCCCATTTATTTAGGCTTAAGGCAAGGATGATGATAATAGTGATGATATGTATTTGCTAGCTGAAAATTTGATAGACTATTAATGATTCGGCTTGCTAACTAAAGATTAAATTATATGAAGTACAAGTTTAGTACAAATTATTCATATGAATGTATATGCAAATTTCTATCCAATCAAATAAAAATGACATCACACATGTATAGAAGACATTAGAAGGCCACCTAGCCATATTTAGTAATATTGAAACAAAATTATTTTCTTCAGCCCTCTCTCGTGTTGCACTTTTTTTCCCATTTGTGAATTGGTCTAAAATATCATAACTGGAGAGAGCCATAACTAAAGAGAGCCTCCTAACCATGATGATTTCCACTAGACTGCCCAAATCTCATAAGTGAATCGAAAGTTGGTGGATTTACATGAATTTCACCTAAATTGCCCCATCTATCTTCTTAGATAAAAGTTCAGTTTCAAACCCCAACACCAGTGCTCTAGCTTGTTAACCCTTTTCAAGTGTGATTTCTACGTATAGTTAAGGATGACAATGTGCACCACCCTGCCGGAGCCCTGCTCTATCCTGCCCCTAATGGCACGGGTAAGGGAGCCCTGCTCTGTCCCGCCCCTAATAGTATGGGTATGGGAACCGTTTTTGTACCGTAGGGATGGTATGAATTTAGATTTTAAACTTGTCAGGGGTTACAGGGTGGGTATGGGTTTTGAGAAACATTCACCTCGTCCCATCCCACTCTTTAAACTTTTTTTGTTTTTTTTTTTTAAATAAAATAAAATAAATAAAAGAAGTAAACGTGGTGGGGCGGGACAAGCACAATACACTCATCTCTTAATAGGGTAGGTATAGATTGTGAAATTAAAACCCGTTGCGGTTATGAATTTGTCAATAATTAAAAGGGACGGGTACGGATTTAGGCAAACCTGCTCCATACCCACCATGTTGCCATCCCTGTGTATAGTATAGTCATACATAAAGGCATTAAGAAGAGGTTACACCTATGTACTTGTTTTCGGCTTTATCACACTTGAATATGGGTGATAAAAGATTGTGATACCAGAAAATATTTATAATTGATGGACCAAGAGGGGGGTGAATTGGTCTTTTACTTAACTTCTCCCAATACTTAGAATGCTCTCAATACACACACAATGATCAACCATTCAACCACAAGTGCACTTGGGTTTTACAAGGAAAATCTCTCTTAACTAGAGATCAAAAACCTTGGTTCTTGGCCATAACCAATGTAATCTCCATTAGTTGTATGCAAGTAGTTACAAACTCAGCTGTCTCACTCTCTTTGCTGTTGAATAAGTCATCTTTGTACCAGGTATCTGATTCATCCATTGAGTATTCAAGAAAACCCTATCAAGCTTCATACAAATTCTTTTGTATACCCTTTGCCTATTATTCCAGGACCATTCACCATTAATTGCCGAGATTTCCAACAATTCTACACTATGCAGGCAAGAATGAAACTCATCCAGCAAACTTTGAGAAACTTTTTTACCTCATTTCTTGTCTCCATGAAAACGAATAGCATTCCAATCCCCAAGAGTAATCCATGGTCTCACAGCTATTGTAGAGTAATAAATGATGTATTTCTATAGCAACTTCCTATCTACAGCCCTATTTGCAGCATAAACAGGAGTGCAGAAAAAGACTTCACCAGAATTGAACTAATTACCTAGCAACAACATACACTGATATTTCACATCAAGAGCTTTAACATCCAGCACAGCCGGATTCCACCCTACCCATATTTTCCCCAAGCCATGAGCTTCATAATTATTAATCCAACACCAATTGGGCATAACTTTTTTTGAAATAGAATTAAAAGAACCAGTTTTCACTGTGGTTTCAAGCAAACAATCAAACTATGAGGAATTATTTGTTATCCATTTCCTTACCTCCTTCTGTCTTCGAGGCTTATTTAAGCCTCTTACATTCCAAGCCCCAATCATTGGGAAGAGGATGAAATATGGGGCACAAGCCCCACTTTGCTTCTAGTTATCCTAACTGAAACACCAATCCCAGGCTTCTTTGGAATCTTACTTGCATCTTCCTTGTGTATCGACTTAGGTTCCCTATTAAACTTAAAACATTCTGAATCTCAGCCCTAGCAACTGTCTTATCCTATATCATGTCTTATTCCTCACTTGATTTGAATCTAGCAACAGAAGAAATAATATCCAATCCCACTAGAGAATATATCTCAACATCACTTGCAATCTCAACCACCTCTTTATTGCTCTGCACTTCAACTGTATCTATATTCTCTAGACTATTTGAGTGGATCACCACTAACTCTCTACCTGGTTTGTAATTTGGATATTATCCTCCACCACTGGTTCCACCTTGTTAGGATCAATATTTTCCTTTTCTGATAAAGCAACAAATGAATTTGAAACTTTCACAAGTTCTTGTGACACTGACACCTGTGCTCTTATTGGCATTTCATAAGCACTTCATCTACAGCAATGAGCTTACCCTTGTCCTTCATTACCCACTTATCCATACCTTTTTTATGTTTCGTCTGTAGAAATTTTAGAGGGCATATGTCCTCTAAGTGATCAACTTTTTTGCATAAGTTGCATAGCTTTAGTTTCCATTCATCTACAACCATTGTCTCAAATAATACCTCTTTAACCCCCACTTCCACCATGACTCAGACATAATCACCCTTATCTCTATGTAAGTCTGGATCATCCATGTAGATAGGTTTCGAGAAGTTTGAACAAACCTTGGACACCGATTCTTCATTATGGCAATGTACAGGAAGATTATGTATTTTTAGCCAAATTGGAACTGATTCCAAAACTTCCTTAGATAAATTGACATTCTTATCCCATTGTTTAATTATAATCGGCATGCCTTGGAAAGTATGGATCCTAGATAACGTCTACATGACCTCTTCTTCTGAATCAAAACGAACAATGAAGAAATTATCTTTCAAGTAAACCACTTTCACTTTCTTAGCCCATCGCTTCTCAACAAAACCTTTAAATCGATGATAATGGGTATTCTGTGAGATATAAAATTGTAATATTGGTGAATTTTGGAGTCAAAACTTAATGATCGAGTTGTAATCTTTGTTTATCTTAAGTCTCGGTCTTTTGGAGATGAAGAGCAAGTTCCTCTTACTGTTGCATCCATTTAGAACATCATGTAGTACAGGTAAGTATGTGAGGAACACTTGTGAATATTTTTAAGGTTGGGTACGAGAGCTAAGGTTGGCATTGTCATTCAATGCAGTCCAACCAGTTGCACTTTATGTTCTAACAGGTTACATTTTCTGAGAAAAATAGCTCAGGAAAAATCTAACCGATTACACTTGACAGTCCAACTAGTTGCACTTTCTAACGAGAAACGCATCAACTGGTTGTACCATCAAGTCCAACCAGTTGCATTAGCCTAGAGATGCGGAAAATCAGATTTTAGTCACTTTACAGTTTCCTGTTTGTACCTAAACTTGTAGGACAGTCCTTTAAAATCTTTTTCCACCTATTGTAAGGACTTACTACTATATATATATATATATATATATATATGTATATATATATATCAGCTTTCTAAAAACCTAGGGAGAGATGCTGGTGGCTTTAATAGAAAATTAAAGTATGCATCTTTTACTCATCATTGAAGCTTTTTGAGAGATTTTTCAGAGAAATTTGATTGTTTATTTTTGAGAGCACACACTTAAATACAAGAGTGATTAGGAGTGATTAGGGTGATGTTCCACTGATTAATATGGAATATTCAGAGTCTAAATCATATTACAATTAATTAAAGTAGCATATTTTCTTACCAACTTTAGAAAATCATTTTTGAAGAAAAGGAGAATAAGGTCACACTTTGAAGGGATAAAGACAGTTGTGGAGTATTGATTGACCTACCAATGATCTTTCTATATAAATCAAGAGTAAGCCTGAGGTCGAGAGTTGTTAGACGGGGGAGTCGCAAAGTTAGAGATCGTTAACAATTGGTTTCTGATAGAGTGACAGGGTGTGAGCCTGAGTCAGAGTTGATTGTACTTTGCTTCATGCATGGTGAATCTTTTTGTTCTGGACAACGTAGTTCACGAGGTTTTTCCTACAACAATTGGTCTCTTCTGCTAATCAGGGTTTCCTAGCTAAAAATTCGGTGTCATCTCTCAAATTCTACTTACTTATTTTCATTATTCTTATGATTATGTATGTTTAATTAATCATAATTGTGTGAAATTTATTCAGTCACGAAAATTGGACAAGTTAACCCATTCACCTCCCTCGAGGTAATTT